AATCATGAAGCATTGCATCATATACTGTCGCATCAAAAAGACAATTATCCAATGATCGAGCAGCAAAATTACTTGTATCAATGATAGCATGTTTTGGGATTGAACGAGCTACACGTGGTTGTACATCAGCTAATGTTTCTAATGCTTCCATAAGATATCCCGGGTCTGAATAATTTACTGCACCAACTGAATAAGCTTTTTTTGACATCAATAATACCGGACTTCGTTCCATCATACTACGACTTTCACTTTGTGATCGAGCATTCGATAAAGTACTCGATTGCATTGCTAATGAATCCTCGGTATTTATTTGTTTGATCCTTATGAGAATTTTTATAATACCGCTTGCTATCCGTAAATGTGAAATCGGTTTTTGATGGTTCATATTGTTGTTGTGTCGTTGTTGTTGTTGTTGTTGTTGTTGTTGTTGTTGTTGTTGTTGTTGTTGTTGTTGTTGTTGTTGTTGTTGTTGTTGTTGTTGTTGTTGTTGTTGTTGTTGTTGTTGTTATTTGTTGTTGTTATTTGCTGTTGTTGTTGTTGTTACTGCTGTTGAAGCTGCAAATAAGCTTATTTTATGACAAAATTAGATGAAAAGCTGCTGTCATTATCCCGTCATTTGCGTGTATTTTAATACCCTTTTTTTTTTCTTTGCAATCATATCGTAATTGAATTGCAAATATTGGTTCAATAATGAATTCAAAAAACAATATTGATTAAATAAGTTCTATTTGAAATCTTTTGAATTAAATTATGCAACATGCATACAAATTCATTTTAATTTCCAAATTTATTATTAATTCTTTAATAAGCCATTAAATAAAATGCTTAATAATCTTTTGAGAATATCATTTTCTATATTGAATTTATTAAAATGTAATTGTAAAGTTGCAATTTTAATTTATAAAATTGTAAATTCCATTATTTTATCAGCAATAATAAAATGTAAATTTTGCCTCGTTATGTATTGATGACAATTTCGATCTTATCATGTGATAATAATCATTATTTCACTCCATTACTGTAAATAGCTTTAACAATTTATGAAAATTATAGATAGAAATATAATTGCATTTGAAAATGCTAATATAAATGTAACAATATGCATTCTACAATTGATGCAAATAGCGTGATAATCAAACATCAAAATATTTTGCGTGTTACGTGCGAAACCATTATATGCATATAATATTTAATTTTTTTTTTAATATTATTATTTATTTTATTTTTCAGGAAAATTTTGGCATTTGAAAAGAAAAGAACAATTCAATCAATCAATCAATCAATAATTAAAAATGTTAATAGAAAATAGACGAACAAATATGCATTTCAAATAGCAAAATTATTTAATTGTGAAACTTTTTGAGCTTTGATCATTATTATTTTCATATGCCTTTTTTTTCAGTTTAAATTTATTCTTATCATTTTTTTTTTTTTTTCGACAAAAATGACAAATGTCAACATATATCTTCAAATATATATGACTTTTTTCTTTTTCTCTTACTACCATATTTTACCTTACTTCGTCTTTCTTATTTTATTTCTCCTTCTTTTTTTTTGGATTATTTTATTAAATTTTATTTTAATTTACTTAATATTTCATAATCATTGCTATTTATTGAAATGTTTGCTTTCTTCTTTTCATGGAAAAAAAAACTTTATGAATTTTTTTTTTTTCAGAAATTTTTTTTTTTTCAAATCATTCGTTTTATTCGCCTGAAAGAAATATACATAAATATTACGGATTGAAAAATATCTCAAATTCGACGACGTTTATTCGTGAAAAGCTATTTTTTGGTTGGTTGGCTGGCTGAAAGAAGTTTAATTTTTCGAAAATATTTGGTGAAGAATTATAAATTAATCATATATTATCATTATCTTCATTATTATCCTATCACTATCAATTGTCATTTCTGTTTGACAAACGGAAAGAAAAAAGGAAAAGAAAGAAAAAGTGACAAAAATTATCTATTAGTAATCAATACTTTTATTATTATTATTATTGTTATTATTATTATTATTATCGTTATCATTATTATTATTATTGCTATTATTATTATTATTATTATTATTATTATTATTATTATTACTGCTATTATTATTATTATTATCACAATCAATCTTCAAGTAGTGTCAACCAGAAAACAATCACTACCGGAACAACGATAATAACATCGTCAGGTGAAGTATTAATTAATTTTTCATTAATTAATTCGTCTTTTTTTCTTGTTATTTATTTTTAGTGTTATAATTATTACCAAAAATTTGGCATATTTTAGCGCAATCAATCACTAACATAATATATATCATAACATTTTCATTGTATTCTTTTTAAACGATACATTTAAAAAAGTAATAATAATTTTATTTATTAATCATTGATTTAATTTTTTAATTTATTAATTTATTTTAGGAAATTTTAAGGAATTCAACAAAACTTCTCAAGACGAGAAGAAAGCTTCGTTCCTTTTCCTCTTTTTTTTATTATTATTATTTATTTATTTATTCGACACCATTCTGAATTATGGGTGACAAAATGAACAAGGAACAACAAGAAAGGGTTTGTTTTTCATTTAGATTTAAGAAAAAAATTTTTTTTTCTAAATTAATTAACTTTTTAAAATTCTAATTTTTAAATTTCAAATTGTTTACAATGTTTGTATGATTATTATTTACAATTATCAATGAATGAATGGGTAAATTTGTTCGAAAATTGTTGAAATTTTGCAAAAAAATTTCAAAGCTATGCGAAAATTTGTATAATTATTATTTGAATGAAACGATTAATACCTGAGTAATTAATACTTATTATTAGATTGTTATTTGAATAAAAAAATTATTGTTTGAGTAAAAAGTTATTATTTATTATAAGATTATTATTTGAGTGAAAAAATAAAAAACCTAAAAAAAGAAAAAAGAATGGAAAAGTTCTTAGACTTTTTAGCTACGAAAAAATGTATATTTTAAGCACAAATTAAATAAAAATGTTTGAAATATAAAATAGTACAGTTGAATTAAAAAATGGTAAAATTTTAAAGTTTACTTGTTAACTTATAAGAGTTTACTTGTAAACTTATAACAGTTTACTTGTTAAATTATAAAATCTATTGTTAACTTGTACGAGTTTACTTGTTAACTTATAAAAGTTTATCTGTTAATAGTTTTAAAGTTATGCTTCAAAACATACCTCACCTTATTTAAAATTTAATTCTGTAAAAAAAAACGTTAATATTTATTGGAAGAGATTAAAAGAATTCCATTCTAACTTCAACTTCATCAATTTCCTTTTTTTTTTTTCAGATTCAAATAATTACAAAAACTGAAATATTGCACAAATTGTTTGATTTTAAATAGGAAATAGAATTGCATATATTTTAATTTTTAAATATTTAAGTTTGATTTTTAAACAATTTAAAGTTATATTTTTACACTTTCTATTACAATGCTAACTATTGAATAGGAAAAAGAAAGGAAGAAAATTTAATTTCATTTTAATTAGTAAATATTTTCAATAAAATAAGATAAACAGATTAATTGATAATGTAAATAAATTAAAAATGGAACAAACATATGTAAGGTAGAATGGGAAGTGAAAGAGAGAAAGAGAGAGAGAGAGAGAGAAAGAGAGAAAACAATGGAAATGAAAGATCGAGGAGATGCGGGGAAGCCGGGGAGCGGGGGAAAATAATGACAAAGTCATAGAGTAGGAAAAGAGGATTACAGGCAATCATTAAATGGTGTCATTTTGATTTTTGAATAGTAAAAGTGCAATAAAATTGTAAGAAGAAAAGTTAACAAATTTAAATTTTTTTTTTTTACAAAATTGAAGCAATTTTTTTTTTGTCTTTTAAAAATTTGTTTTTGTATTTTCATTTTGCATAAAGGAAAAATCTTTTTCCTTTACATTATTTTTTTTTTTCTAAAAACATTTGCACTTTAAAATGAAAAGGAAAATTAAAAAGGAAAGAAGAAATGATAGGAATGAATGAATGAATGAATGGATGGATGAATGGATGAATGAATGAATGAATGAATGAATGAATGAATGAATGAATGGATGAATGAATGGAGGCGTAATGTTATAATGTTACATACATAGCCGCTTGTTATTTTGAGTTGAAATAATTTTTCTTTTCCAGAAAAATATATTCAACTAAAAAAAAGAAGAAATGATGCATCCATGAAATTTGTATAATTGGATGTATAGAACATGCGCATATGTCATTTAGATAAATATGAATTTTATTGATGAAATTTAGCATTCAATTTGATAAATTGAATAATTTAGAGTTTTTTTTCGTTAAAATCCCTTAACATCTTGAATTTATTATTTATTATTTATTATTATTATTA